AGCTTAGACGGCTGTGTGGTTTTTGAGGTTATGAGTGCCCAAGCAGGCGCTGCCTCTCCGCTACTAAACGGTACAGTAAGACCGCAGGATGAGGCGGCTGTATCGGGACCTGCGGTGCAGATGAATGACGAGCATGCAGGTATTCCTACAGTGCCTTTTCAGACGGCAGAAGGTTTTCTGGATGGTGATCAAGCCCGTATGCAAGTGTTAGATCCTGGGATTCAAGCTGCTCAGCAAGGAGTTCCAGGGGAAGAGCAAACTGCGGAAAAGGTCACGGAGATGCATGAGAACGCAGCTAGGGACTCTGCTTTGGCTGGGCCCTCGACAGTGGAACTGGAGGTCGGCATGCAAATCGGCTCCCAAGGAGCTGACATTGCGGCAGAGTTGCCACGGTCGAGTGCAAGTGTGGAGCCGAGTCAAGCTGTGGAGGCGGGTGGTCAAGACCCTATACCTGGGTTCCAGACACCCCGATCTACGATGAGCTCAGCCCGTGGCGGTGTTCCTTCTTTAAGGTCTGGACCGCCGGGGCAATGGCCTGGATGGGTTACTCGTCTTGGTGATCTGTTCAAGGCGCCTTCGATACCAACGACATGGTTGCCACCGAGTCCGCTGCCAAGTTCTCCACCGATGGGCGCTCTTGGTGGTGGTATTTCTGCGACAACCTTAAGGTCTGTGGTAGCTGATGAAAGAGCGAGTCACAGGGTTGCCTCCAAGCCAAAGGGGATAACTACGCCAAGTAGCAGCAGTGTTCCGGCAGAGGCCATTCAGGCGGAAGTGCAGAGACAAATGGGGTCTTTGTTGAGCCGTCTTACAGAGGTGGAGAATGATAATGCGCAGTTGCAACTGGAGCTGAAGATGGAGAGATCAAGAATGCAGAGGTTGCAACAGGCCGCTTCGGGATCTGTTGGTGATCTACCAAGGGGTGAAGGTCCTAAAGAACCCGAAGGCTCTTCTGTACCTAGAGGTTATGTTCGAGAGCGAGATCAAGGTGCAGGAGCTCGAAGATGGCTTCCTTCAGCTTTACCTCGAGTACCAGAACCCGGGGTGCCCAAGTCCTCACATGAAGGCGGCGGGGACCAGTGGAGTAAGCTATGGGAAGGGATTACAGGGAAGGCTGCAAAGGGGCCTAACACAGAGGAAACGCCGGAGCAATCAGCGACGTTCCCGGAGTCTACCACAAGCATTCCTCACAATGTTGCTGGTCAGCCTGAACTTGGCAGATCAGGGAGAGATGGCCTGGGAGTGATTGAAGCTTTGGCTCAGAGCATGCGTCAAATCCAAGAGTTGCAGGTGAAGGCGTTGGCCAAGAATCAGGTAGATGAGGAGGCCCCGGAGATGGTTAAAACAGCAGTTACCTCGCTTCCGCTACTTGGAGTACCTGAAGGAGATCAATGTGGGCTCTTGTTTCAGGACTGGATGACGCAAGTGACTACATCAATGCAGGACCTGTCCGCGGGCTCCGGTATGTGGTGGGAAGCAGTAAAGAAGGCTGTAATTACCGCTTACTCAAGATGGCTGGGATCTACTCCACTCGAAAGGCTCAGCATTGAGCCAGCAGCAGCGCATGAGTTGGTGGAGGGGAAATGGATTCGAGTCAATGCTAGAGCCTGCGCTATGGTCGTGCAGTCAGTGCCTGAAGCAGTGAGGACGGATTTGATTGCAAGAAGATCGACGCAGAGTATGCCGTTACTGTTGTTTAGACTCTACACGCTGTATCAACCGGGAGGAGCAGGAGAGCGGGCAACAATATTGCAGAAGCTCCAAGGTGCCGAAGTTCCTGGAACAACAGAGGAGTGCTTACGACAGTTGAGAGCATGGCCAAGATGGTTGCAAAGATGCCAAGACATGGGTATGTCAGTGCCAGATGGAACTGTGTTGGCTAGAGGTTTGACGACATTGACTACAACTACTGTTGGAAGGGTGCCGGATGCAATGTTCAGAACACAGCTGGTTCGAGCAACGCTGCGTATAGACCAGCAGCCTAGTCTACAGGACGTCTTGAAGTACCAGCAGCACTTGCAAGCAGAAGTAGAGAACATAGCGTCGGCGGCTACTACAAGTAATCCAGCAGTTCGCGCGATGTCAACCTCGGGAGGAACGTCACCTACTACAAGTACTACCAAGCCCGCGTGCAAGTATTTTTTACGCCCCGCAGGATGCCGTCGTGGAGGTAAATGTCCATATCCTCATGACCTTTCAGGACTTGCCAAGGCAGAGAGGGCTAAGAAATGTCTTGCATGCGGAGCAGAAGATCATCGACAGCGAGACTGCCCTACAAAGTCAGCGAGGCCAGGTGGTGGAAGAAGCTCAACAGCTGACTCGCCCAAGGCGGGCGACCAGAGACAAAGGGTAAGTGCTGAGCCAGAGAGTGAGACATCGCCTAAGTCAGTGGCAACGATGGAAACAACAGGACAGCCAATACTGTCATGGGAAGCTCTTCTACAAGCAGCAGCAAAGGTGGCTGGAGCAGCGCCATCGGAGCCAAAGGCTCCATCGATCAAGGTTTTGTCGTTGCACAGTGGTCCAAGCGGTGGGAAGCATGAGACTGCCTATGCCTTGGTTGACTCAGGTGCTACACATCCACTACGACGAGCTTCTGGAATTGGGGAATGGCAAGCTGCAAGTCCGGTTGTTGTTCACTTAGCCGGAGGAGAAGTGGTGGAACTTCGAATGAACTCGGCGGGCACTTTGTTGGTGCCTAGCTCAGGGATGACGAGAACAGCGTCCACAGCGCCAATAGTTCCTTTGGGGTCACTGGTTGGAGTGCTGGGATACCGAATGGAGTGGCACGGGTCAAGGTGTCGCTTAACTAGCCGTGAAGGTGATGTTCTCAACCTACGAGTACGTGATGGATGCCCGGAGGTAACAGAGCAGCAAGCCCTCGACCTCATTGCGAAGATCGAAGACAAAAAGCTCCAAACTCTGAGAACATCTACAGAAGCCACAAAAGGAGCCGTGAGGGAATCAATGTTAGTGCTGAATCGATCATGGTTTGACCACCTGATTTCCTATTGTCGCTCTGGGATAGGATCCGAGGCCTTATCTGCAATCCAGTCAGCGCCTTTCTTCCAGGAAGTTCCACAGGAAGCACTTCGAGGACTCAGTGAGGCGGATCCAATCTCGAATGGCTGGGATGCTCTTCGTGGGTTGCAGCACCTCAATAGAAGAACTCGGAAGAAGTTGTGGGCATCAAAGAACTGGGTGGTTCATTTGTTTGCAGGGAAGAAGCAGAACGAGGAGGTTATGTTTTTGGAGCGACAGGGTTTTGCAGTTCTGGAGCTGGATATTGAAAGGGGGAAATCGCATGATCTATGCAATCCTCTGGTGTGGAGAGCTATAGAGTGGGCAGCGCGCAATGGTCGTATCTCCACAGTGATTGGGGGACCCCCGCAATCAACGTTTATGCTCCGAAGATCTATGAGACCCGGTCCAGAAGCCCTCAGAAGCAATGAGTTCCCGTATGGAGGATGGAATGGACAGTCGGACAAAGACAGAAGAGTGGTGGATCGACACACTGGACTCTTTGCCAAGATGATTTACCTTCATGCTTTAGCAACAGCTGGACGATGTGCTTATCCAAGCGAGCCGGGCGACTTCAAGGAGGTGGGTTTTATGTTGGAGCAACCTCGAGATCCACGGGGCTATCTTTTGTTTTCAGATCCACTGGCAGTTGATGCAGTAAGTTTTTGGCGAACCAGTCTGTGGATACTGTATGCAGAAGAAGCTGGATTGAGCACCTTCAGTTTTGATATGTCCTCATTAGGAAAGGCTTTGTCGAGGCAGACCACAGTTGGCACCAATCTTCCGCTGAGACAGATAGACGGCTTGAAGGGTCGAGTACAAGATGATCCTTATCCGCCCGAGCACGCCCCACCTTCGGTATGGACGCGAGAGTTCTCTGAGATTGTGTCGATTGCAGTTAGGGAACAAAGGATCACTCCGAGAATGTTGAAGATGTCGGCGGAGCAGTGGAAAGATCATGTTCGGAAGGGTCACTTACCGTTCAGGTCGGACTGCATGACCTGCGTAACTGCAGGAGCCACGGGACGGCGACACTCTCGGGTTGAGCACCCTAGTTGTTTTGTGCTATCTGCAGATGTAAGTGGGCCTTTGAAAATTCCTGGGCTTGACGCAGATGCACGGGGAGCCTTTCCGAAGCCGCACAAGTACATGTTTGTGGCAAAGCTTAAGGGGTCCCAAGAGCATTCATTGATGATGGAAGAGGCATAGCTGTTGATGTTGATCCAGGTGAACTTGATGCAGATCTTCCATCTGAAGAAGGCTCGTTCGACTTTGAGGAGTTGAAGCCGGAGGAGGTTGAAGAGAAATCGAAGGAAGTTCAGGGTGACATTGGTGGTGTTGACGAAGTTCCTGAAGGGGAAGCTGAAGAGTTAGACGATGAAGATGATCCTCAGCCTCCAGCGCCAGATCCAGGTGAAGCCCTTGATGTTACAGGCCCGGATACAGTGAACCTTGTGTTTGCAACGGCTATGATTGACAACAAGGGAGCTACGGTGTTGGAAGCCATTCAGGATGTGGTGATGTACTGCTGGTCCCTTAACATCCCTATCGTAAGATTCCATTGCGATCGTGGAATGGAGTTCTATGCGAAAGCTACAAGACAGTGGGTCAAATACCATGGGATGAGATTCACTACCAGTGAGGGAGGTTTGCACCAGCAGAATGGCATGGTGGAGAATGCAGTTCGCTATATCAAACAGAGAGCGCGGACTTTACTCATCGGTGCCAAGCTACCTCAGCGTCTATGGCCTCAAGCAATCACAATGGCGGCGTCTATGCAAAGGGCCTCAGTCTTGGGAATGGAAACTAGATTGGCGGCTCCTTTCGGGGCCAAAGTGCTGGTTAGACGCAGGGAATACGGTGGGACTGCAGAGCCGGGAAAGCCAGATGATCTTGCGCCAAGGTGGCTTGAAGGGAGGTATCTGGGACTTTCTGAAACAGTTCGTCGTGGACATTTGGTCTACTTGTCAGGTGATGATGGAGAGAAGTTTATCCACACGGTTAATGTACGCGTTGGCCTAGAAGATCACCCGCTCCCTGGACCAGAAGTTGAAGCTGATCTTCCTGGACCACCAAGCAGGCGACTTCGAGGTAAGGCCAGTGGAAGCGGGGATGTGGTTTCGGTTTCCAAGGCTGAAACGGTGGTTGGAAGTGAAGATTTGAAATTCAGAGCTCAGAAGCTACTGGAAGAATGGTCCCAGGAGGAGGCGGAGAAGCTGTTGGTCCATGTTGCACTCAGTTTGAACCCTAATGATCGGGTGTTCGGTGTATTTAGACATGGTGGTCGAGTGGGCTTGACCAAGGCTACCTACGATCATCCATGGATAGCTGAGATCTTCGTGAAGGCTCTGGTGGGAAGATGTCCAGAAGCTGAGTTTTCTGCGGTGTATGTTTCAGTAAATACAACCCGGGAGATCCACATCGATAGCAACAACCTTACTGGGATGTCGAACTACGTGTACCCTTTGGCAATGCCCTCCAAGGGTGGAGGTTTGTGGATTGAGCTAGCTGACGGAGATGTGGTTCGAGGGAAGATTGTTGAGATGCAGGACAAGAAAGGCCACGGTCATTTTGGTTGTGTACAGCCTCTTCTACCAGGTCATGTGGTGTCCTTCAATCCTCATCGTCGACATGCTGTACTACCGTGGAAGGGACTAAGGGTGGTGTTCGTTGGATATACACCTGGAGTTCCCCAAAATTTGCTGGGTCCTGAACGTGAAGTTTTGAGCAGGCTGGGATTTCCAGTTCCATCAGAAGTTGAGCAGTCATCTCCGTTTGTGGCGTTGCGAGTGCTTTCAGTGGCTGAGTCTGAAGATAAGAGTCTACTTCAGGAGGAGATTGAGCCGCAAGAGCTTGAGCAAGGCAGCGCAATTGCTATTTCAGATGGCTCGGTACTATTTCATGAAGTACCCCGAGGAGAAGAGTATGGCGCTCCAGCAGAAGGTGCTTTAGTGGGAAGGACCGAGGAGTTGGACTGTTGGGATATGTATCTGCCGCTTGCTGAAGGAGATCCTCAGAAAGTTCCGAAGGCTATGAGTGCATCATCAGTGGGAGTTCCGGTAGTGGCTAAGGCCGAGGTCACTTACACCAAAGGCATTGAAGTTCTGCTGAGTAACCTGCAAAGCCCTTTGACAATCGTTCATACAGTTGATCCAGCAGAAGCAGCAGCTTCGTTCAAGGAGTGGGTCAAGCCGGCGGAGAAGGAGATTTTGTCGTTTGACAAGGCGGCGAAGAAGGTCCTCAGCAGCGATCCACAGATCATTGCAGATCTTAGAAGTGGAAAGGCAAAGATTGTGCCAATGAAGGTTGTGTACACTGTGAAGCCACCGTCTGAAGAAGCAGCATTGGAGGGGCAACTTTATCGCCGCAAGGTTCGGATTGTTGCATGTGGCAACATGATGGCAGAGAGTGGTGAAGACACCTACGCTGCTGCAGCCCCAGCGGAAGTGGTTCGATCTTCTTTGTCGGTTGCAAGTATGAACAACTGGGATGCTGCAGTACTGGATGTTACAGCGGCGTTTCTACAGACTCCACTAAGTGAGGTGCGATGTCAGCAGAGGATTCTTGGACAGCCTCCCAGGGCATTGGTTCGAGCGGGACTATGTGGCGAAAAAGAACTATGGGAGTTCACTCATGCAGTTTACGGACTTCGAGAGTCTCCTCGATGGTGGGGGGAGTTCAGAGACAGCCAAATGGCGCAGCTCAATATTGTGGTTGGATCCAAAAGGATTAAGCTTCTTCAATGCCGTGTTGAAGGGAGTTGGTGGAGGCTAGTTGATGATCGAGCGTTGGTTGGACTGGTCGTGATCTACGTGGACGACTTACTTATCTGCTCAACTCCTACGATCATAAAGGCCGTGTCAGAAGCAGTGAAGTCTCTTTGGGAAACGAGTTCTTTGTCTTGGGCATCAGAAGGGGGAATCCGCTTCTTGGGTATAGAAATCTCCAAGGTTGAGGGCGGCTTTGCGCTGAACCAGGAGCCATATATCAAGGAGCTCACACGGATTCACTCCATTGCAGAGACCCAGCGAGATTTAGTGCCGGTCTCAAAGGAGATGTCAAGCTTTACTGCTGAATCGGATGAAGCCGTATTCACCACCAGCGAGCTCCGCGAAGCACAGCAAGTTGCCGGTGAAGTGTTGTGGGTGTCGCAGAGGACGCGACCTGATATCGCGTACGTCGCCAGTCTTATCAGCTCCTTATCGGCCAGAGCGCCGCGCAGAGCTGTGAAAATAGGGAAAAAATGCATGGGCTTTCTTCAACGCACAGCCCAACAGCACTTATGGATAAGGGCTACTTCACCCCAGCTAACAGCATGGACAGACGCATCATATGCACCTGATGGAGGTCGTTCCCATACAGGTTGGCTAATAACACTGGGGGAAGCGCCAATCAACTGGAGATCGGCGCGGCAAAGTACAATCACGTTGTCGACTGCAGAAAGCGAGCTCGGTGCCAGCGTGGAGGGAGCATTGGCACTTATCTCGGCCGAAGCACTTTTATCGGAGCTGGACTTGGATATGACACAGTCGAGATTGCGCACAGACAGTACTTCTTCCCTCGCCATACAGCGCGGATCAGGATCTTGGCGTACTCGTCATTTACGTATCAAGGCAGGGTGGATCTGCGAAAGACTGGTGGCCGGGGATTTAGAACTGGAACATTGGCCTGGAGATCGGCAACTAGCCGATATTCTAACGAAGCCGTTGTCCTCTATGCGGATCAGGCAGTTGTCGCAGTTGATTGGGTTAGCGGGTCCGCACCTCAATGGTTTCAAGGTTTTGGTGGCAATGATGGTTTTGTCACAAGCAGTCTCAGCGCAAGACCCAACAGGGATGGCTATTTACGAGCCGATGGCGGTTGATCGTGGATTGATGGCATGGTGTATGTTCGCAGTGATTGCTCTGTTGTGGACAGCAGCCTGGGAATTGATCAAGTATGCTGGATGGCAAATTTACTTCTCAGCAACTCCTGGGGCAAGTTCGCGAAGGTTGAGGAGATTGCAGAGGATCCGAGATACAACCACTGAAGCAATCCGAAGTGAGCTTACAAGAAGTAGGCCAACGGGAGATGGGAATTTTCCAGTTGAAAGACGAAGGGCTCAGGATGCAGAGAGGAACTACGAAAGTTCTTCGAGCAGCCGGGGACGGGGAGAGTCAACGTCAAGGATTCCCAACACCCCTATTGTCTCGAGGAGCACTGTGTACCAAAGTGATCAAAGGGACAAGGCTGTACAAACTACTGGACCTGCCTTCGCTCCTTGTGTCCCGGAGGTGAGGACAGAGGTCAGGCGAGAAGTACAAGTTCCTGAAAATGTCCACATTGTTCCAGGCAATCAGTGCTTTCATTTGTACAATCCTTGCTATGCTTTCCGTCATAGAGGGACTCAAGAGAGGGTGCAAACTTTGAGGATTTGTGAGTATTGCGTTCGTCATCGTGGACGGAATCCTCAGTCGCCTACGCCGCAGCAGAGCCTTGATGAAATCCTGAGAGCCGGAATGATGCCAAATTTCGACCGACCCGGGGCTAACCTGGGATAATCAAGATGGGACTAACGTCCATCTGGAGGAGGAGTGAGGAAATGGGTCGCCGTTTGCATGGAACCAGGGCTTCCTGTCCAGATCATGCACAGGTTTTTGTCCCGCATGCGTGCTCAAGACAAAGGCTACGAAGGAGATGTCTTGGGCTACAGCAGTTTTTAGACAGTAGGCTGTAGAAGCCTTTAGCTGCGTGAACTTAAGCTGACAGGTGCGAAGTACGTCTGCGGCAAGTTCAACTAAGTACGTCGTTCGCTAGTGAGAAAAAGAGATCCAATTCGATGGACCGCATTGCCATGGCCTGAACTGCTGTCACCTTTGACTTCAGCTTAGACGGCTGTGTGGTTTTTGA